GCATATTTACGCATTATGTAGATACTAGTTCCATCCAAATAGGAAAGTAGACGCGACAGTATGCAATAATTGAAACATTACGAAATAAAACAGTATATAGGTACATAAAACCGTTAATTGTCTTCGTACTTAGTCTAGTGGCATTTGCTAACATCTGCTGATTATGAAAATATAAAATAAAAAAAACTGGCCAAGAGCGTGCGTCAGACACGCACATTGAAGGGGCCTAGCTATTCTCATATTTATTTGAAGTTTTTATTGTATGCAATCTACTATATCATACTGACGAAACACAGTAGTATAGTAGTAAGACATACATAGTGACGAAAAACTTTGTAGTAATTAATCCCTAACGCTAGTTTTTCGTATTATTATATTATTTAGAAAGTAATGATTAAATAGAATGAAAAAATGCCAGTTTTTTTCGGTTAATTTTAATTAAATAATTTAATCGGCAATTCAATTTAACGTGATTAAAAAAAAAAACAATAATAAGAATAGGCCATAGTTACAGGTAATATATTCATCATCATGGACATTATTTTAAATGTATGATAATGGAATGGTAAGATTTCCAGGTGAACTACGAGAAGATTGACCTAGGATATATCCCATATTGCTAGCAATTAGGTTAAAAATCTTTTTTCCACGTGGCATGGTCTTCGGCCTGTCGATGCCATTGATTACCTGCAATTATCATATTATCGTTGGAACATATGACTGTTTGCTTACTGAAGGTATTTTTTTTTTGGCTTCATGATGCCTCCGCTTGTTTAAGGAACCCTAAATACAGTGAGCATTCAAGACGCGCGCCACTTTAGGGCAAATACCACAAGTGTTTATGAATTATTATGTCATTACATCAAATTTAATGCAATGTTATAAAAATACAATAATTGTACAGATAATTAGAGGTTGCAATTTATATTACAAATAATAATATATTTACTTAATGGATTAACAGAAAAATTAATGGTGATAAGGTACAGCGAGTTACTTCCAAATACACTGCCTTTTATCTTGTATTAATTCAAACATATGAAAATGGAATAAATAAGAGATGTAAGGATAAAGGTGTTTAATATGTGGATTTTGTTTACTTCTTAATAGACCCATTATGAAGATAGGTAATTTTATTTACCCACTTTTATTGCGGTTCAAGGATATTAGCTTTTAACTAGAAAAGCATTAGAAGAAAATTTGTTTTATGTCAATATTAATATATGTACAAAAATGTAGACATGTAAATCAAAATAATAAAGTTCTATTAATACTGTAAAAGTTGCACTACTAGTTTTTTTATGAGAGGAACAGGTATCAGAAACAAGTGAAAGAGATACCTATTAAAATTCGTAGCAGTTGAGTTATAAATAAATTAAGATTTCGTTCTATAAAAAAACTGACTCTAATCATAGCTGAACCAGTTATTTTGATTAACTAAACTACTAAGTCCATTTTGATAAAATTTCTATGGAATTTCTGAAACTATATTCTTTCAAAAAGAAAAAAAAATCCGTTTATAAGCAACAGAGTTATGATGTAACAAATATAAAACAATATAACCGGATAGGGAACCTCCTGCTTTTTTGAAATCGGTTGAAAAAGTGAATTTTAGATGATATTAAGCATGAGTAGGTTTAAAAATAAAAAGATTCTATCTTTGAAGCATTTGCTTTAAAAAACTTGAAGAAATATGTGTGCTGTTGTGTTTCATAGAGATCTGACGTCTAGCAATAACGACTTAGTCCTCAGGAGTAGTAATGCATAAAGGGTGACCATATATTATGTATTGCCATAATGTTGTTCATTTCTGTAGGCAACTATTTTTCAAACATTTCTTTTGTAGTGGTATAACTTTCCAATAGGTGGGCCGCTGTTTTGTTAGCTATTCCAATTACATGTGAGTACACAATGACATTTTGACGAAAGGCAAAGCAAGAAGACAAAAAGAAAAATGTTCTTTTTGTTTGTTTACTTTTTGTTACCGTGATCGTTATAATGTTTTGAGCATGTTTTGAGTTAATGAGGTCTAGAGTTCGCTTTTCAGTTAAATAATTTCTGATATTAGGTATAAACTTTTTCATTACGAGTGTAAGTCTTAATAGTTACGATGCGTTCAATACTAGTTATATATTGTGGCTTTGCTCACATTAAAAACTCGTATAATAAAAGTATGTACCTTCTTCTTATGCGTTAATCTAAGATATTATCTATATGTGCGCCAAACATTAAAATCTGTTTAGGTATGATTAAGTAACAAAGATTGAAACATCTTTCATACAAACTTTCATATTTATAATATGCTTTATTGTATTTCCTTGACTTGGCATGCAATTAATCATTAAGTTGGAGCTACCTTATTCTGAACTTGACACGTATTTTGTAGATCATTACAACAAATTTCTGATCATTGCCCTTAGATTTTTTAAGTTTTCTGTTCATGAATTGGATAAATAAATTAAAAAATGAAAAAATGAAAAAGAAAAATAAACTTTTTTTAAATAGGTAAACCAATTAGCAGACTAGAAAACTAGAGATGTACTCGTATCTATTTAAACGCATTTTTGGAATTTTTTACATGTTTGATATCTAAATTATTATAATATGGAAACTAAGTTGCTCTAACCATATTGATAGTTACCGTTGGGAGCAGCGAACTGACACACGTGTACAACGGTCGAGTTATTTAATATAAAATTTTAATATTTATATGCAATATATAGTTTTTAACGTATGTAATTTTAATGTATTTCAATTTAGTTTTTTTTTTTTATGCAATTATAGTTTATCAATACGCTAAAAAACTGAAATCGATACTATTGCTATCCTTTTTAAGAAAATTTTATAACTTTCTTAAAAACTGTATTTTTTTCTAAAAGGGAGACGGGATATTCTTTGTGGTATGTTTGTTATGTCTAAATGAGGTCTCGTATGTAATTTACAGGCGTGCTAATTTAGTAAACGAAATTTTTCCAATTGGTTCGGTTCTGAGAGTCCTGTGATGTGTCCCCAGATGTTTCTCAGGCGCGATACCTCTTCATCTTTCAAATCGTCACCGTCAAAGTCACCTGTAAATAGAACTAAATCAATTAGTAATAAGTTCACTATTCAATAACCTATCCATACTAACCATATCATATATTCATTTTCACAAATATACATTCAGTTGTGTTAATCATTCCAATACTTGCTCCGCCAACTTCCACTGTATCTGACTGTTACAATCGTCTCTATTTTCATTACTACATTCATTGTTGATCCTATCTCCCATATTTCGAGCTGACCTGTCGTCCGTATCCAATAGTGAGGACGGATCGCTCTGTCATTTACACGACTCAGAACTACCAAAAAAGAACATCTGGGGATTTCATTCCTTTCATTCCATTCATTCTCATTGTTCATTATAGTACAGGATATTATAGTTTAGGGATTAGCTGATAGATGTTTATGTGTAGCACTTTTATTATTATACTCGTTGTTTAATTTATCTGCAATATTTTTACTTCGCGGCACCACACTTTCACAATTCTACAACACACACACACACACACACACACACATATAAATATATATTGTCCCTGTAAATTAGTCATTACGGGGATATATGGAAACGCCTGCCCTCTGGTGTGAGTGCCGTGCAACAACGCCTGTGTGTCAACTTTTACGCGGGAACAACCATCGACCTCCACGGCAGTGATTAAAAATATTAATAATCTTCGGTTATTTGGGGTGAGTTTAGGTTATTATTTGTTATTATTATTGTTTTTATATGCATACACATAAATCGAGGAAAAAATAGACACCGATAACACGAATTACGGGAGCCCTGAACCAGCACCTAAGTGTGAGATGAAGTAGGTGATGAAAGTAAATATTCCACCGAAATTCCTCTATATAACATTTGATCGCTTCGAGACGGATTTATAACCCGTTATCGTTGTCTATTTTAAATCATTTATACAAAGAAAATACTTAAAATCGCGGATACACGTAGGTCATATGCTTCCACCTACGTTGTAAAAATTATTAAAGTAGTAATCGGAAACTTATACACTGTACACATATTTTGCGGTAATATTTATGTTTCAGTGTTAGGTATTTATATATATGATTTTGATTGACCCCCCATATAATTACACTTTCATATTCACATTCAATTTACATAAAAAAAAAAAAAAACTTCATTTCACCGTACACACTAGGTATTTTGTTTTTCTTTTCTAAATCTTGCAGCTAGATTATCATCCTCTGATTGTTTTTGTGGAATAATTGTTTTTAAATAATAAAGTAAATATACGGTCTTATTTATTAGCGGTAATAATAAATGATAAAGTTTGCACCTGGTTTAGTAGCGGATAGTGTTTAGTAATTTCACACTATTTTTCATTCATATATTGGGAAAACTTTGCGGGCGGCGGATTGCGATTTGGAGGTCGGTGTTTCAAATCTGGATGCGGTTCTTTCTTTTTGCGTTTTTATTTTTGTCACTTTTATATTTAAGGGGATTTTTTCTAATTACTTGGATACTTTTTCGACATAAAAGTATAATTAATTTTTTTTTTGCGGTTTTAGATACTTTTGTATTTGTTGATTTTAAGGTTGTTCTATTATTAATAAGTGTTATTTCTTTCTTGCGGTCTTGTAATATAACATATTTATTTAAGGCTTATATCGGTAAATAAGCATTGTTAATTTTATTAGTTTTACAATATTTTATTTTAAATAAGCGGATACAATAAAAGGAGAATAATCCTTTTATGTGGTTATTAGTTTGGTAAATCACATAGTTTCCATTTGTTTAGTTATTTATTTTGTATATACTTGTAGATTTATAAGATAGGAAATCTATAAGTACCTATATATTTTTGTTATTTTAAATATTGTAGGATAAATCTAATTGTTTGAATATTCAAGTCGTTATACTTTTTGAAGTTATTTTCTGTTTGTTATTGTTTATATTTTAGGATTAACTTATAATTAAAATAAATATTTTCTTAAAAATGGCTGCGGTTAAAAGAATACAAATGAAGTACGATATGGTAGTTCAGAATATCGACCTTATATACGATCTTGTGCGGACAGACCAACTAACAGTAGAACAAAAGAATGAGTTTCGAGTTAGATATACTGATTTAGACACTCATTACCAAGAATTTGTTTCTATGCATTTTGAAATGCAACTTAAGGCGGATGACTCGGATTTAGATAAACTTAAAGCCGTATACGAAACTTATAACAAAAGGTATTACTTTATTAAGAGACGTCATCTCGAGTTGTTTAGTGAAACAAAACATGATTGCGGTAGTGATAATCAAAATACTGATTCTACTGCTAAGTTTAAGGCAATTCTTCCTCGGTTGACACTCCCTACGTTTTCTGGAAAGTTAGAGGAGTTTAATTCCTTTATAGAACTTTTCCATTCATTAGTCGGTCAAGATTTAACTTTATCGAATACGGAAAAATTATATTATTTGTCAGGTTCATTAGTAGGGGAGCCCAAAACGTTAATTCAACACCTATCTGTTACTGGTGATAATTATTCGATCGCAATTGACTTGCTTAAAGCGCGGTATAGTAACAAGCGGTTACTGGCGGATAAGTTGTTGCACAATTTATTGAGTGCGCCACCAGTAAATTCTAGGAATTTAAGTGGTCTTAAATTATTTGTAAATACTTTATTAGAAAATACAAAGGCGTTAGAAAAGATGAATTTTCCAGTAGATTCGTGGTCATATATTTTATATTATATTAATTTTCAAAAATTGGATAACAACTTAAAAAAAGATTTTGAAAATAAGATTGAGGAAAAGGAACTACCTACTTTTTCGGATTTATTAAAATTTTTGGAATGTGAAATACGAAAGTTGGAGTCCAGTGCGGTTCCTGACTCCAACACTTCTATGCGGCGTAGAATGCCAGCTCCAGCAGCGGTACGAGCTGCCCATGCGGTAATACAAAATCATTTTACCACATCTTGTAAATATTGCGGGACAGCGGGTCACTTCATTGTCAAGTGCGAGAAATTTTTGGGTTTAACGCCTACTATTAGAAAGCGTCACGTGATATCGAATAATTTATGCTTTCGATGTCTTAATAGTCACAATATTGCACAATGTCAATATAATAGAAATTGTTACAAATGCAACTCGCCAAAGCATCATTCATTATTACATTTTGACCTGCCTGCGGGGGCGCGGGAGCGGCAACAGCGATCACCATCCAATCACATCATGAGTAACACGAATGCTCCGGACCATGTACCTCAGGTGACGGTCCCTGCGGCCACGGTTCAATCGACGAGTACAAGTGTTAATAACGTGTTTGGAGGAATGTCATCGCAAGCAATACCCTGTGGGACCTACCAACATACAGTTTTGCTAGCAACTGCTATGGTTCGGGTATTAGATTCACACGGATATTATCTAGAGGCACGTGCTCTGCTTGATGGCGGCAGTCAGAGTACGTTTATTTCTGAAAATTGTGCTAATAAGTTAGGATTAAAGCGGTTTAAATCTAACGTAGTAACAGTCACGGGGCTAAGCGATATTCCTGTAAGCGGTTGTAAAGGGGTTGTTAACTTGACTATTATACCCAAGTATGCGGATTTACCTGTTCTCTTTACAACGGCTACAGTTTTGAATAAAATCACTCGTAATTTGCCAGGATTCTCCTTATCACCTCGATTAGAGGATAATTATAGAGGATTAGTTCTTGCGGATGAACAATTTTTTATAAGTCGAGAAATTGATATTTTGATTGGTGCGGATCTTATTGGGGACATTTATTTAGGCGGCGGTACTATCAAGGTACACGACCACTTACCTCGTGCGATGAATACGGTGTTCGGGCATGTGTTGACTGGTCCTGTCACATTTATGGCTACAGATCCATGTCCTCGGGCTACTCATTCTTCTCATACATTTTATTCTAACATTTCTACGGATGATATTTTGAAACGATTTTGGGAAATTGAAGACCTTCCTCACGCGGTTAAAAACCCTATGGACATGGAGTGCGAGTCTATTTTTGTAAGCACTCATCAGCGGGATAAGGGCGGTAGGTATGTTGTACATTTGCCTTTTTTATCCAACAAACCTTTGCTTAGAGATTCAGTCCCATTAGCTAAGAAGCGGTTCTTGGCAATGGAAAAACGGCTTCAGCGTAATGACTCGTTGCGTAAAAAATATGTAGATTTTATGAGAGACTATGCGGAAAAGGGACATATGTCACTCTGCGTCGGTAAACCAGAAGACTATGTTTCCGGTTGTTTTTATATTATATGCCACCACGGAATTTTTAAAGTAGGTTCGGAAAATATAAGGGTCGTATTTGATGCTAGTGGTAGCACTAGTAACGGAGTTAGTCTTAATGATTGTTTGCATGCGGGGCCCAAGCTTCAGCGCGACATAATGGAGATTATTTGTAGATTTAGATTACATAAATATGTATTTACAACGGACATCCGAATGATGTTCCGTCAAATTTTGATTAACCCAAAAGATCGGCCATATCAACTCATCTTCTGGAGAGAGTCCCCAGATATGCCTCTTCAACTTTATCAATTGAATACCGTCACTTACGGGATGAAGTCGAGTCCCTATCTCGCGATACGGACCTTAAGACAGTTGGCTGAGGACGAAGAATCACGGTTTCCGGCGGCGGCGCGTCTTCTTCGTACTTCCGTGTACATGGATGACATTTTGGGTGGTGCGGATACGCTAGAAGAAGCACAAAATCTTAAGCGGGATCTGACCGGTTTATTAAAATTGGGCGGATTTGATCTCAGTAAATGGACTTCTAACACCGCGGAGTTATTGAGAAACATATCTGAGGAAGATTTAGAAAAACCTCGTATCTTTGTAGATAATGCGGACGGGCCTAGCTTCATTAAAATATTAGGCATCCAATGGGATCCCAGTAATGATAGTTTTTCTTATCATACCAAGCTGAATGATAATGTAATATGTACAAAGCGTTTCATCTTGTCGACGGTAGCTCGAACTTTTGACCCATTGGGCTGGATTTCTCCAATCATTTTACAAGGTAAGATTCTGATGCAACGGCTTTGGCTATTAAAGTTGTCATGGGATGACAAACCACCTGCGGATATTGTTGCGGATTGGCAAGGCATTTTAAAGGATTTGCCTGTAATTGAAAGTTTTAATCTGAAGCGGTTTGCCCTAGGAGATTCTAAGATTTGCTCTATTCATGGATTTGCTGATGCGTCTGAACTCGGCTATGGCGCAGCTGTTTATTTGAGAGCGGTCAATAACTGTGGTGAGGTTACTGTAACTTTAATGATGGCTAAGTCAAGAGTTTCACCAGTAAAGTCCAAACTTACCATTCCCAAACTAGAGCTTTGTGGCGCGACATTATTGGTACGGCTTACCAAATACGTCGTGGACTCTATTCAGAATGAGGTGGATATTGAAGATATTGTTTGTTGGTCAGACAGCACTATCGTACTTTCATGGCTGCGGATCTCACCTCATCTTTTGCAGACCTTTGAAGGAAATAGAGTGTCACAGATTGTCAATAGCGGTGTAGATATAAAGTGGCGGCACTTACCGTCGGAAATGAACCCTGCAGACGTTGCAAGTCGTGGTTGTCGCGCGTCGGAATTGCTCGAACACACATTGTGGTGGGGTCCGTCTTGGCTTAAAGGTCAGGCTGATACCTGGCCTCAGAATATAATGAAAAAGGCAGAAGGCGATTTGCCTGGTCTTCGCAAGACGATGGTAAAAGTTCATATGGTACAGACGGAAGCGAATCCCATCTTTACGCGGTTTAGTTCATTAACTGTACTGCTAGCGGTAGTGGCTTATAGTTTTCGGTTTATTAATAATTCTAAAAATCCAAATCATAAAGTTACCGGTGTTTTGACAGCAAAGGAAAGGCAATTTGCCTTACTGCGGTTAATAAAATTGGTTCAAACTACAGCGTTTGCTAATGATTTGGATTGTATTAATCGAAAGAGTCTTTGTTCTTTAGGGTTGCGGCGGCTTATGCCTTTCGTTAGTGAGGATGGTCTATTACGCGTAGGAGGAAGATTGAATTATTCCGATTTGTCCTTTAATAGGAAACATCCTCTTCTTCTGCCAAAAGATCATCCATTAACGGTTTTAATAATTGATCATTATCACAAAATGCATTGCCATATAGGTTCAACGGCATTGCAGGCTATTTTACAAAGTCAATTTTGGATTATTTCGGCACGTCAAGTTATACGTAGCCGAATTTTTAAATGTATTTCATGCTTTCGGACAAGGGCTAAACCCGCGGAACCCTTGATGTCTTCGTTACCTACCGATAGAGTGATTGCTACGGGAGTTTTTCATACTGTGCAAACGGATTTTGCCGGACCCTTTATTATAAAGCATTCACGTTTGCGAAATGCAAAAACTTTGAAGGCGTATCTGTGCGTTTTCATTTGTTCAGCTACTAAGTGCATTCATCTTGAATGTGTTACGGACTTATCTACTTATAGTTTTCTGGCAGCTTTGACCAGGTTTACATCTCGACGAGGTCTCCCGAGTGTAATTCGGTCGGATAATGGCACCAATTATGTAGGCACAAACCGACATTTGGATGAAGTACAGCGGTATTTAGCTTCTCGGGAAGTACAAGCGGAGCTTAGTGGTACTGCTGCTAAACAAAATATTAATTGGCGTTTTAATGCGCCAGCAGCGCCACATTTTGGAGGTCTTTTTGAAGCTACGGTAAAGGCAGCCAAAACGTTATTACGGAGGGTCATCGGTGACCAGGTATTAACTTTTGAGGAGCTAGTAACGGTATTTACTAGAGTAGAAGCGGTTCTTAATTGCCGGCCCTTGTGTCCTTTGACACAAGATCCTCAAGATTTTGAAGTCTTAACACCGGCACATTTTTTAATCGGTCGATCTTTGTTATCAGTGCCCGAATATAATTTTGAGGATATTCCTAACTCGCGGTTAAATCGGTATAATCTTATTCAGGCACTGTCACAGCGTTTCTGGAGAAAGTGGAGTGAGCGGTACCTCCATACTCTTCAAATGCGGAATAAATGGATGTCTCCTACAGACCCTCCCAAGGTGGATGATTTAGTTCTAATTAAAGATGAAAATTTACCACCATTAAAGTGGAGATTAGGCAGGATTTTAGAGTTGTTGCCTGGTAAAGACAGTGTAGTACGAGTTGTGAAACTTAAGACTGCAACTGGCACTATAACGCGTCCAGTTGTCAAGATTTGCAGACTTCCCTCTAATTAGTTGCAACCTTGTTATTTATTATGTATTAGTTTAGCTTTTTTAATTTATTAGTATTATTTTTGTTGCGGTTTCATAAGTGGGTTCTGTATAAGTGCGGTCTATACAGTTTCCAATATTTATTTATTTTAAGCGGTTTTGTTTGATAAAGGCATTCAGCCTTTCTCGGGCGGGGGGATGTTTAATTTATCTGCAATATTTTTACTTCGCGGCACCACACTTTCACAATTCTACAACACACACACACACACACACACACACACATATAAATATATATTGTCCCTGTAAATTAGTCATTACGGGGATATATGGAAACGCCTGCCCTCTGGTGTGAGTGCCGTGCAACAACGCCTGTGTGTCAACTTTTACGCGGGAACAACCATCGACCTCCACGGCAGTGATTAAAAATATTAATAATCTTCGGTTATTTGGGGTGAGTTTAGGTTATTATTTGTTATTATTATTGTTTTTATATGCATACACATAAATCGAGGAAAAAATAGACACCGATAACACGAATTACGGGAGCCCTGAACCAGCACCTAAGTGTGAGATGAAGTAGGTGATGAAAGTAAATATTCCACCGAAATTCCTCTATATAACACTCGTATTACATCGATTATAACAAATTTGGTAACATGTTATTTCGCTGTCCTAATATTTAAATAACTGCATAGAATGAAATGAAATAGAAAAACAACATCTAAACCAACATCGTGCATGTACAGCTAAAACAACATCATGTATGTACTAATTTAGGTAGGTATGTAGAATAAAATATTCATGCACCAGTAAGTTTTTTATCTTTATTGTAGCACACATAAGACTTATAATTGATCAAAACTATTTAATAGCAACTAGTCTAGACTTTCACTACCACGACTAAGAGAATTGTCTGACTTCGTGTTTATTACATTCTACGAGACTTACGTACGCAGTTGAAATTATTTCGTTGAGAATTGTACTTTACAAATCAATTTAATTTATCATACAATTAATTAGTAAATATATAAAATTTATTATCTTACCTATTAACTGTGTATTGACACAGTCCAAATTACTAAGTCCAGAAAGCTGAAATTTAGAAGATACGTTTATTTAACAATAAAATAGGTTTATTTGAAAAACCACAAAGAAAGGAAAAAATTCAACTTAAAGGCAAATCGCTAACTACGTATAGTGAGTACATCGCGTCGTGTATTCGTGAATTAGAATATTAGATTTTTAATAAAATTTTAATAAAATTAATATTGACTAACGAATAAAATCCATAAACGACAGCATTACTTATATACAAATTGAATACATTTTTGAATTATTTGAATCTATAACACAGGATTGTAAATTAAATATAAAAATAATAAATAATAATACAAAGATATAAAATACAAATAAATGGAGAACCTCCTCCTTGAAAGTCGGTTAAAAATGGAAACTAGAAATATCTATTATATTTATTATACTGTAGGTATTACTTCTGATAATGTAGATTTTCAATATAATTATGTACGTATGTTAGTAAAATATAGAAGAGGAAATATTTGAAAATACATAACTCTGTTCTGGAATCAAAAATAAATAAAAAAAGATAAAGTTTTAATTTAAAATGTTTAAATTAGGAATGTTTTTAATATACCAAAGCAACAGAGAGGATATAACGTTTTTATTTTTTGTTGGCTGGATGCTCACTTAACGGAAATCTACTTGCTTCTTTTGCTCCGAATTTATCAAGACCGATATCATAAAAAAGTCTATTCGTATAGTAGTAGACATCTAGTGAACGTATTGAAGAGTACATTACTAGCTCAAATATAAATACATGTATACTTATTGAAATATTTTTGTTACTTTCACTAGAAGCTTGCGATCATTTTTAGTTAGATTCTTATAATATAATCGCTATAAGAAATATTTTTTAAATAATTAATTATAAATATTGTAATTTGATATGCTGTGTGGTCTCGGCATACAATAGGCCACCCTTTCTTTTCCCGTGGGTGTCGTAAAAGACGATTAAGAGAGGGCGAGGGATAGGCAACAGCGATGCTCTTAAAACATCTCTAAAGCCTAATTGCGGTTGCCAATTCGCTTGCCAAGCGTGGCAACTACTGGCAAAACCCCCCAAGGAGAAAGCTTATGTTCAGTAGTGGACAGTTAGAGGCTCATATGAAGATGATTGAAATTTGATAGAGAATTCATACTTTATATGTATCGCTCACGACTAATGTACCCGGATGGTCCCGCAGCTAGTCGAGCTTTCTTGACTAAAATATGCGTAAGTTAATTCGGTTGTTATTATATTAAAGTATAATGTATACTTAGGATTACACGACTTTTAATAATAAAATTTTAACATTTTCATACATCAGTAAGTTTCAATATAAATGATGTTAATGTATCGGGGAAAGTACCTACACTTTCTTGAAAAGTTATAAGTCTAATAGTGTATATAAATTGTGGTTATTATGTTTATTAGTTCAGAATAACGTAAATACGTAAAACGTGTTTTATATCTAAAAGTTGACACATTATTTAATCTATCACTAGTATTTACACGCGACTTTGTCCGTGTAACTGGAATATATCTATTGATTGATGTAAAATGTAGCCTATTCATTTTTCATACCAAACAGTAGGTAAATGTATAGCAATTTTCATAATGATTGGTTAAACCATTAAAATGTCGAATAAATCAACTCATTTTCATATTTAAAATATTAGAAAGGATTTAAAAATATATTATTACTGAGTATATTGAATATTTGTTTTAGTCCACTGAACTGTTGTTATGTTATAGTTTTGGGTTTGTTTATAATTTGTGAATCTATAAAGAAGTACAAGGTAAATCAATATAAATTTAATATTCAGCGTAAGGTTATGTTTGTACCCGCTGGCTAGTGGTCAGGATCTCGTGTAAACACGGCCGAGTTTAGTTAGTGCACCGGCCGCGGTCTGCGAACGAAGCTTAGTCGTCTGGTGTGGCCATAAAACTTACGATTTAAGTTAAAAGTTATCATAAAGAAAACAACAATATTATTATGTTTACTTATAGAAATATTTATTTAATTATTTATTTATTCATTTATTACATCCACTGGGTGAGCCTTACAGTCTTCCAATACGCTCACCCAGGAAAGCATTAGAACAATAACATATAAAAAAGGAATATTACACATAAATAACAAGAATAATATAAAAGATTTAACTCAAACAAAAAAAAAAAAACGTCTGAACACAAATACTCTGTGGTCACTCGACGAAACTCCAGTAAGTTGGAGGCATATACTTATACTTATTTATATCACATTTACAGGAATTGTCTAACTAGTTTTAGATTCGACTGCCGTCCTTTCTGATGAACTCGCTTTGCATCATAAAAGTTTTTTCTGGAAACTAAGTTAAATAAAGAAGTAAAAGCAATACAAATAACTATAATTCAATATAATTTGTGATAGTTTTATTCTACAATATTTATATACTGGATTATAATCTTGATTTTCTTGACAAATTTTTGAGAGCTGTCAACGTTATTTTTAAGAATAGTCAAACAAAAGGACGTATTTATTTTGTTTATATTTTATATTCGCACGTTAAACGATATATTTGCTTATTCTAAACTGATTTTCATAACTATCTTCGTAATTGATAGGTTTATACCCCATTTTGTCTTGCGTAAGTTCATATCAATTAGAATTATTTTGTTTAATTCCGCTACTATTGGCATGTCTGTAATAGAATTTCTGGTCATAAGAATAGTGGTTAATCTTTGAGTGATAGTAGTCATACACCTACTAATGGTAGCAAAATTAAACAAAATAATTCTAATCGAATAACCATTTTGGTTTCATTATTTTACCATGAAAGTTTTTTTATGTTATGCAAAATATCAAATTATATAAGTATTATCGTCATCATCATCTCAGCCTTTATCTGTCTACTGCTAAGTATATGCCTCTCCCATAGACTGCCATAAGAAACGGTCCTGAGCCACCTACATCCACTAACTCCCTGCAATGCATTTGAGGTCGCCACCCCACTAGACTCGTCCTACACTGCGTTTACCTGTACGGGGTTGCCACTCAAGAATGTTTCTTCCCCATCGGTTGTCGGTTCTTCGGGCTATATGACCAGCCCATTGCCATTTCAGCTTGTTTATCCTTCGGGTTATGTCGGCAAATTTATTTTTTTGCGGATATTCTCATTGCAGATTCATAGCTTTCTCCATAGATTGCTGAGTAATTTGAAGTTTTTGCATATAGACAATAGCGTAGGACCATGTTTTGGTTCTATAAGCCATAGCTGGCAACACGCACTAGTTTACTGGCATTTTCGTCTTTAAACTTTGACGTATTTTGGATGAGAAAATGTGGCGTAGTTTTCTGAACGCTTCCTAGCTGACTTGGATTCGTAGAGTGACCTCTTGGTCAAAGTTGAAGTTACCTAGTCAACAAGTAACCCCAGATATATGTACTCGTCGACAATTTCGAGCGTAGTTTTCTCAATCATAACCGGTATAGGTATGTGTAACAAGCGGTATATGGTAGGTGTATATACCTATACCGCAATATTAAGTATATGTATAATTTATTTAAAATAAGCTATTTAAAATATTAAGTATATGTATAATTTATTTAAAAAAACCTTTGCGAATTAAAATATATGTATGAAAATTGGGTTAATTAGGCATTTTAATAATGTATGCACATTATTTAAATATCTAATTTACCTAATACATTTTGTTTGACGCGAAATTAGGACGTTTTCCATAATATGTTTTATTAAAATGTTGCAAACGGTCGTTTACAGAGAACGTTATAATTTTTACTGTAAATGTAAATAGTTAAGACTTATAGCAAAATAAATATATTTCATTTTTTATTTTATCTATATAGAAGATAAAATAATGGATAAATTTTATTTCATACATCGGAAACAATAAAAATTTGTGTTATATTTACTTTCATATATGACAATGTATATGTAGAAATTTAGCGTTGCTGTAG